TCAACCATTGCCGACGTCATAACTAAGTCATCAGCTGTTTAAACAGCCAACGTCAACGCGAGAAACGCCATGCTGCTTATGTCACAACGTCACAACTGTTTGTTTGGCTAAGGAGGGTAGGGGGGGATTTGTTACACACAGGCCTTATGAGGATAAGCCATCCTGTAGTAGTAGTGTGTATCATCCTTGGTTTGCACATCAGTGGTTTGCACCGACCATTTAAAGGAAGGCAGTGGATAGAGGTCCGAAAATTCGGATCTCTAGTGTTCATACTAAAGTTCCGATAATTCTCGGATTTTCAATTTGTAGGTATATTAGGGGTCCGAAAATGCGGATCTTCAGTGGTATTATTGAAGATCCGAAAATAGATGTTTATTTCTAATTCTGTCGTAATTAAGGAATATTATACCATTTCAATAAAATTGATAAAACGCTTGTATTTTCAAGGATTTATACTAGAAAAAATGGATCCTCTAATCCTTTTTATGTAGAATAGCTTATCAAGTTTACTCGAAAATATTTGGTTGGTGCAATTTCAAACAGAAAAGTACAAAAAACAAAACTAAGTACCTTTTTATTTTTTTAAAACATTACATAATTAAAAATAAATATTTCTTCATTTTAAGGGTTGATAGGGTAAGAGGTGTGAGATGTGATTTAGTTCCTTCTGCACTGCATGCAAAACCAGGCTTTCTTACTAGAAGGCAGCTTTGTTACTGAACAACACACTTTATGTTTACACCGAAAACATGAATCACACCGTAAGCAGTCTTCACGTATCACTTTGTTACATATATCAGAAATCCATTTTAGAATACTATTTTATTTTTCTCCAATTCGTTTTTGTAATAAAACATGAGAATCCAGACAAAAATATGTTACTATTTCTGCTATACATATTTCTTTTTCAAGAAGAAGTGGATCAATTTGTTGATGATGAGGAATGTTTTATTTCTCATTTTTAAAGTTTTTGTGTAATGCTTTGCCCAACAAACACATTTCTTACGGCCCAGCATCGTACGAATGCCGCTTTGCCGGATAACAGGCATCTGCCCAACTAAATGAAAAAGGTACTGGTCCGGATCGTATATGACCGCCCGGCCGACAGTCGAGCCGCAAGTCGGCCGACAGTATGAACCAGCGTTGGGCCGATTCAACGTCTGAATCATTACATTGGGCCAACGCTGGGTATACTTACTTCCTCAAATTTTATGGTCCTTTACAGTATATTTGATGGATTTTCATCACAGGGCCATAACTTTATACATGGTTGTAATATTATATACCGGAATGCTTGTAAATAATTCCAAAAATCGAATTTTACTTTTTCTGCAACTTGGTATGACACAACAATTTTTTTCTGCTGTTCGTTTTTTTCTTGGTAGTAGGAATCGAAGCCTTTCTGGAGGACTTAAATTTCAAGCAAATTAAGGTTTTATCGAAAAAATCATAGATATATTATATAAGTTACATTCCTCATAAATCTTTGAAAATAAAAATGCATTTTTATAAAAATATCTAAAATAGTTAATATTTATAGGTAATACAATGCAATATTATAGGAAAAAAGTCAACATTTCATTAGCGTATAGAAATAAATAAATAAATTCTTTGCAAGAAATACCAAATTCTAACACAGAGAATAGGAAAAAAATCCATCATTTCCATCTGAAAAGAAGAATAACAACATTTTTTTAGTGTACATGCGTTATTTTAATTATAAGTACCTATACTCACCAAGTTGTCTTCGTTGCCGGAAAGTTTTGTCCTATTTCTATTTAACAATTGACTTTTCGCGCGGCAACACAACACAACTTATTTCCACAATTAATGAGAAATTACCCAAAGTACAAGACCAGGAACAAAATCTAAATACAAAAACGAAGCCACAAACATACGTCGCCAACGAGGTAATGGCCGTCAATGCCGTTCAGGTTCAACAATGCACAGAACACACATGAAGAACGGGTGCGCAGTGCGCCTGCTCGAAATTTTCAAGGAGGCTGGGAAACATATATTGGCAAACTGCCGGTCCAGTAATATAGTACCAGTCGTATAATTTGAAATCATTAATAGAAAAGCCCCGACGCTATGCCAGCGTTCAAATGCCAACAGTCGGAATTCAATGATCGAAAACATAAGGGGCCAACTGCATTTTGCCGATGCCGTCACTTACCCATCGTTCAAGGCATTCGGCCGATTGTTTACCGTCAGTTCGTGTTTGCTGGGTGCTTACTAAATCATCTGTATTTAAAACTGCATTAAGCATTATCTGGTACCTCAGTTTAGGAACTTCATTTTTGAATAAAACACTTTTATTTTTCTTAGACCTTTTTAGTCCAATTGCAGTTAATTGATATCCCTTGGGTCTTCCTTTATGGGTTTTAAAGGAAATTTAATACTTTTTATTTTTTCTGCTAATTGGTTTTGTGCAGTAGGGGAGAGTTGGCCAAAACGGGATAGCTAACGATATTTGATCTGAAATTCTTCTATTATGCTATTGATATCTACCATTTTTTAACTGTAACTTCCTCATTGACCCATTTCTATGTTTAGGTATAGTTATTGCTGAATATCTTGATGATAACATAGGAAAGTCATATTGGAGAAAAAAATGTAAAGTATCCCGTTTTGCCCACCTGGTCGGGTAAAATGGGATGGTGTTTGAATGTGAATAAAAAAGATACTAAAGTGAGATATATTCATGAAAATGGAAGATTGTATTAGTCTTATATCTAGATAAAAAATACAAATTAACATTTTAACACCGACAAAAATCGCACCAGTAGGGCTCACCATCATTCTCTACCCCGGCGCACGCTTCGTGAGCCCAAAGTCGACAGTCCTGGCACCACATTACCCATCTATCGTCCGCCTTCGATTTAGAATACAGTTTTGTACAATAGTTTTGTTCCAACACACCAAAAAACCGTACAATGTACCGTCAGGATTCTGCGCAAAGCCAAAAATGTGTGCGCAGAACCCGAAATTCGTATACAAAGTGGTTTCGAAACCGTTCATGGGACGGTTTTTGACGTGTTGGAACAAACCTAAAATGCAAGTTTCGTCGTTGTTCTCTTCTTCTTCTGAACTGCTCTGAATTTTTTTCCTTTCTTTCTTCTCTTTCTTTCCTTTTGATGACCTCTTCCACCGCTTGGAGCATACTTTCATCATTCCAAGACTGCCGATCAGTTTTCCTTTTATATTTCCCCATCTCATCAAATGCCTGTAAAAAAATAAAATTTTAAATCCTCATCAATCCATAGCGTTGGACAAAACGGGATAGTGTCCAGTTTTACCCGACCGCTAGGTATCCCATTTTGCCCGACTGCACATGTCCAAATGTTTTTCAGAGTTTTCCCAAAAAAAAATTAGGCGACATATTCACAAATGCCACAAAATACAGTCAATTAGTTACAGAATCATAAAAAATACTTACCGTTAGTTAGTTTGATTGTTGAAAGTGAAAAATTCTCGCTTAGCCACTGATGAAAACAAATAGCACAATCTCACTTTTCGAAGGTTCACTTGTCACTCACCACAGATCAATAATTTATCAAAATATTCACCTGATACATCTAAAGAAACCTAATTTGTATCGATTAACACTATCAGTCGTCAGATGGCCCTGCTCATTTTGAAATAATGGCCGGTATCCCGTTTTATCCGACTATCCCGTTTTGGCTAACTCTCCCTAAGTATTTGGTTCTTGGGCTAGTTTCATTAAAATGGTGTCGCAAATATCTACAAAGAATAATATTCAAGATCTCGGATATTATTCTTTGTAGATACTTGCGACGATACTCCTTATTTAGACAGAATTAGAAATAAACATCTATAGGTATTTTCGAATCTTCAATATTACCACTAAAGATCCGCATTTTCGGACCCCTAATATACAAATTGAAAATCCGAAAACTATCGGATCTTTAGTATGAACACTAGCGATCCGAATTTTCGGACCTCTATCCACTGCCTTAAAGGAAGCCTTGGCGTTAAGTATTCCTTAAAGTGACATTTCTCCACGGTCGTTTATTGGGTCACTGTAACGATGTGTACAGTGCCTCTATACAAGACAGTGGCGACAATAGAGGGACTCATTTTTGATTGGCTACAGAATATCCGGTTTGTTTTGTCGAAAGTTATTTGTATTTACCATTTGATCCTATGGAGATTTATGGAATTTTGTGTTTATATATTTTTGTTTTTATTATTTGTGCCTGTTATTGACTATTTTGTGACAAAAAATTAGAACAGAATGAAAATAAAGATCAAATACATTATTAATGCCCGTATGCACCATTGCACAAATTCTCTGATTAAGACTTTAGCCGTGATCACAAAATATTTTTCATATGCACCAAGCGTTTTTTTCGCCTATTGGCAATTAACTTTAAATTGCTCGATGGCCTGGAATTTAGAACAAGATAACCGCGGCTAGTTAATAAAATGAGGTTAGGTGTTTTGTTTGTTTTGGTTCCGATTTCAAATTTCATATTTACATTTTACAAACATTTTTGTAAAAAAAAACTGGAACAAATTTGTGTGAAGTGAGCCAGGAAAAAAAAGAACTGAAATCAGGAATATGGAGGTGGAGAGACATTATTTGACAATGATTAATTTGGATAATGAAATTGTGTTAGATGGGTTTCCGTTTCCAAGGCGTTGGAATGAGAGGGAAAATTATTTTGAAGCCTTGGATGATCTGATCTATAAGCCAATGTCGTAGATCATAGATCTTCTTGAAGAGGTAGAAGATGCCCTATCATTATTATAGGGTGTAGTACCTAGTACATTCTATGCAAATTTATGACTTGATTCTTGATTCCAATAACTAGGTAATGACTATGTAATTACTGTTTATTTCAAATAAAATGCCCTACATGCCCTGGATGTTTTGTTTGTTTGTTTATAAAATTAAAATTCATCGACAAAAACGCAGAATGGGTCTCGCCAACCCCACATACCGCCAACCCAAAATGGGCTTTTATTGCCTTTTATTAAAACCTATAGGAAATTTGCGACGTTATCGGTGAGTTCCTTTCAGGTGGCCCTCATTACAAAATCACAATTAACTAATTTGAGTGCAAAATCCTTTGGTGCATCGAACCGACATTTTTACCGTGATTACATAATTATCCGTGATTAGCTAATATCGAAAATACGTGAAAATGGTGAATAGTATGAGGAGCTCCGGAACAGCTCCGGGCATAGAGGCTCCGGGGCGTTACGCGCTTATTCCTTCCGAAAAGTGTTTGTTGCACCTGAGTACTCAAGCCCAAAGTAAACCATAAATGCACGAAAGTCGGCGAATCTGTTCCTTTCAAATCGGGTTGACACACCGGAGCGAGTAGCTCTAGTGTTTCAAACTCTTGAAAGGAATACAGCTACATACTGGAAAGCAGCTTTATATCCTATCGGCGGTTCACTCTCGTACTCTATCCGTTCCAGCGGCCGCACCGGTGCGGCGTGATCCCGACAATCCGGAGCCGTTGATCGAAACGAGTCTGTCGGTGTAATGTACTCCGTCTCTGAATCTGTGTCCCTACTCCGAGTCCACACTTTTTCGTGTTCCACTGGCCGGCGCGGCGTGATCCGATTAGTTCGAGTTTGACTCCGAGTCCGTACAACGAGACAACGCAAAAGTGGTCCGGACTTGAACTCGAACTTGGACCGGACCTGTTTATTTTGCAGTGGATCAGTTCCCACTGTGAAGATCAGTTCCAGTATTTGGCCCTGATAATAGCCAATATTGGGTTGGCGAGACCCCATATCTGCGTTTTTTTCGATGAATAAATTTTAGGTATACAGTATACATAAACAAACAAAGCATCCTGGGCATTTTATTTGAAATAAACAGTAATTACCGTAATTACATAGTCATTAGTTACTGGAATCAAGCCATAAAATTGCATATAATACTACCACCCTATCATAAGTTAAGTTAGGGCATCTTCCACCTCTTCAGGAAGATCTACGACTATTGGTTTATAAGATCATCCATCCAAGGCTTCAAAATAATTTTCCGTCTCATTCCAACGCGTTGGAACGTTGGAAGCCCTTCTAACACAATCATTATTTATTAGTATCCAAATCCTCGTCAAATAATAGGTGGTCCATCTCCATATTCCTTATTTGATTTCTCCCTGTTCACCCTCGCCACACACTATTTTTCCAGTAATTTTTTGGGGACAAAAATGTTTTTAAAATGTAAAAACAAAACAAAACATTCTAACCTCATTTCATTATAGCCGCGGTTATCCTAAATTCCAGGCCATCGAGCGATTTAAGTTAATTGCCGATTAGGCGAAAAAAACGCTTGGTGCATACGAAAAATATTATGTGATCACGGCTAAAGTTTAATCAGAGAATTTGTGTAATGGTGCATACCAGGCAAATGCAAAATCCTTTGGTACATCGAATCGACTTTTTTAACCGTGATTACATAATTAGCCCTGATTAGCTAATTACGAAAATACCTGAAAATGGTGCATACAGGCATAAATGAGTTCGACAAATCATGGCGGGTGGGCGGAGCTTAGGCACTAAAGTTATTTGTATTTACCATTTGATTCTATGGATATTTAAGCAATTTTGTGTTAATTTATTTTTGTTTTTGTTATTTGTGCCTGTTATTGACTATTTTGTGATAAAAAAAATTAGACCAGAAAGAAAAGAAAGAAAAAATACATTATTGAATGAGTTCGTCAAAACATGGCGGGTGGGCGGAGCTTAGGCACTATTGTCGCCAATAGTTGTATTCCTTTCAAGAGTTTGAAACACTCGAGCTACTCGCTCCGGTGTTTAGTAGCCCCCGATTTGCAGGGAACAGATGCGTGGTGCAACAAACTCTTTTCGAAAGGAATAAGCGCGTGAAGCCCCGGAGCTGTTCCGGAGCTCCTCCTAGGTGTGAAAGGAATACAACTACTGTCTTGTATAGAGTCACTGTAACGATGTGGATACGACAGCTCCATCTTTGTGCTACGCGGAGTATCGTGAATCATCATTGATACACAATAAAGTCAATTAAAGGCGATTAACCAGGCGGTTATATTGACAGATGAATAATGCATTTAACGTCATTTATTACCGATTGGTTGACAAATGACGTTTGCTTCATTGGTTATCTGTCATTTATGACCAATCGGTTAATCGCGTTTAATCGATGTATGTTAGTTTGAAAATGTACATAAATATTAATTGTAGTTTGTAATACGACAATAATTATGACCACATTATGCTTTGATGTATCTGGATTATCGATGGACGACCGCTTCCAAAAATTGGGGTGTATGCTTGACGCTGTGGAAACGGTATTGAGAAACCAGGTACAGCAAAAAGACCACCTGATGATTCATCTATCTGCTTATAATCACTTCAATGCTCCAGAAGCAAATACAAATGGTATCAATCTCGAGGATTTGCAAACAATAAAGGTTAACGAGCCCGACAACAGTGTGGCAGCTGTTAATAATGAGAACCACAATAATTTACCAAATGCATGTAGCGGCAACGCCAACAGTTTGCCAACGCCAACAGAAAATAAAAGTAGCTACAATAATTTGCCAGAGCCATCGGCCATCAATGTTGGCAACCAGAACAATTTGCCAGTAGCAAAAATTATCAACCAAGACATCCCTATGCCTGACAATTTCAGTATAGAGGTTCCATTGGTAAACGGTTTGCGCGAAATAGGTGGTTTAAAAACAGTAAAAAATGAGCTTTTTACGTTGGTGGTATTACCAAAATTGCAACCCCAGCTATACAGTAGAATTAATCGCTGTTGTTCAGTATTGTTGTATGGACCTCCTGGTACTGGCAAAACAAGGCTGGCGCATGGATTAGCTGCTGAATCAGGAGCAGTTTTTCTCTCTCTCTCAGTTCGAGACATTTTGTCATCATTTGTAGGAGAAACTGAAAAGTAAGTAGGTATATAAAAGCCATTTAATTCAATTTTACCAACCGGGAATAATTTTTTCTCCACATTCTGAATGATGACGTGGGCCTGATAGTCATAATTTTTAGGAACATGGGAAAACTCTTCGATTATCTAAGAACCACCAAGAGCTATACGCTTTTGTTTATTGATGAAATTGATAGTTTGTGCAGAGGTCGCACTTCTTCAGAAGCTGATTATTCAAGACGGTGAGTATACTCCATTCCCGAGTCGATTCCCAAACATCTCCAATTTCCTTATTTTTTAGTCGTTACCCTATGCCTGCCTCGCTTGTTAATTTTTTTTATTTAATTAAATCAGGTACAAATTAAAAGCGCATCAACAGAATCGGAAATATAGCTATTTATATAACAAGTACATAAAGTAAGGCTCAGCGGCGGATTTAGGATTCCTTCTAGGGGGGGGCGATCCATCAGGGCCTCAGGCTCAGATAAGAAATAATAAAAAAACGACTTAAATATACAGAGTGGCAAAAAAGTCGCGTATAATACCTGTAACTTTCTAATTACCTCGTATACAAAAAAGTGACCTTAATGAAAGTTGCGCAGTAAATTAGGGACATAAAGCTTCCGTATTTTTTGCTCGGTATCCGTATCGGTATCGTACTGCGCATGTGCAGAAGCGATACGGAGGCCGAGATACCGTACGTACAACGTAACGTTACGGCCCTCTCGCGGTATCCGTATCGGTAACGTATCTTGACATTCCTGACGCATGTGTCAAATTTCAAATGAATATAACCTCCCTTTTCTTCCGGGTTGATTTAATTTGTTTAGTTTTTACTTTCTTGAGTTTCTTGTGTTTAGTGCTTCTCTATCGCAAAAAAAATAACAATTTTAAGGTTAGATATAAAAACGCCGAAGTTTTGAGACAAAAATGTCTAGGTTATGAAATGCGTTTACGTTTACCGGAACAGGGAGCGCTTTAACAGCCTTTTCGCTTGTCAACGTATCTAGTTGCGTTACGGATACCGATACCGATGAATTATTTCAAGTAGCTTTATGTCCCTAATATTTCCCACAATTCTACTTAAACGTATTGCCTGTGTCACTTCTGGTTTGTTTGCTATCTAGACCAACTTTCTTTTTTTCAAATAAAACACCCTGTATGTGATTGCATATTTGGATTCTACGTAAAATTCTGAGCAGATTTCATGTGAATATACCCTATACCTAAGTTCAACTGTTTTGGAAATATTGACAGTTGAACATTGACTTTTTGCAACTTTGACAGGCTGTAAAACCTGAACGGTTAATTTCAGAGGAAAACCGATTTCACATTCCTATCTTAGATTTTCATAAACTATCATTTGACATCAACATTTAATTTAATCGGAGATTAAATTTAATTGGAATTTTCAATTATAGATTAAATTCAAAGTTGGTGCGGATTTACGTCATCCGCAGTCGATTCGCTCCCAGCTCGCTGCTGCCAAACGTATTTAAATGTATTAAAAATTTGGAAAAATAGCAAAAACCATATGGAATTTCATGTTGGATAATGCTTGATGAATATGTTTGTGTTTTCGTTAAAAATTTCGTTGTTGCGTCGCTCAATAGGGGGGGGGGGGGGGGGCGCGCGCCCCCCTCTAAATCCGCCACTGGTAAGGCTTTATTGTACGAATAATTTTATGGCCAAGCGAGCTTGCGAGCGAGGCTATTAAATAATGAATCAATAAAGCCTGTTTATGTAAGCGTTATATACACGATTTTATGCACGATTTTGACTGGTTTTTGTTAAAAATTAAAAAAATTGAATAAAAAAAGTAAAATTCGCCTAGGTATACCTGTTTCACCATGGCAGGTTGTCAGGACCTGTTTCACTTTGGCAGGTTGTCAGGACCTATTTCACCTTATCAGGTAGTCTAGGTAGGCAATAAAGTAGCACTTTATTTTACTAGTAAAATAAAGTAGTACTTTATTTTACTAGTACAATAAAGTGCTACTTTATTGACGCAAAACTGTTCTATAAATAGCACTTTATTGGTCAATCGGACATAAACATTTTTATATAGGCTGTTCATTTGTACTGTTTTCTTGCTTCAAGCAGATCTCAGCAGCTGATCGGCGTTCACTTGTCCCATAACTCCCATATAATTAGCTCATAAATAGCAGCTCCTAGCAAATCTTCCTGATTTTTCGAGCAGGCAGCAAGTACAAATGAACACCCTGATAGTTTCCTGAAATGCGGAGTGCGGGTGGTCCAATTTGGACACTTTCTATAGGAAATGTCAATTTCTGAGCGAATGACAAAAAAATGAACCCCCCAATCTGAGGCTCCGCATTTTGATATCTGCAACTGTTAAGTGTTTTACCTTTCTTAATTTTGAGCAATCTTGAAAAACCTTCATAACTTCTTTCTTCATTAAAATAATGATTTCCGTTGAAACTTTCTAAAGCCTAGTAGTTCTCATGGAGCGGAAAATGGCGTTGCGGACGCGGAGTTTTTAAAATTTCTCCCGCAGTGTGGAAATGTCAACTTTTTGCGATATTGCAAAAAAGTTAAACTATTTTTAACTTTTGTACGAGTTTTTATCCTCGTGTCACTTTTTACTGTCATCTGTGAGATGTATGGTACGACTTTTGATAAAAATCACTAAAATATAATGTCAAATACCCTTAAATCCACTTCCGGAATCTCGCTTTATGTGAACTCGCAAAAATTACTTCTTGAATGTCTATTTGGCCCTGATTTCGAGATATTGACCAAAGGCCGATTTTTTTCCGAAATTTCACAAGCGCGTTGTTATAAAACAAAATACACAAGGAATAGGCCAAGATGACACCCACAAATGACACCGACTCATGTTCCATTGACAAATTCGGACATGGTAAGAGGTAATATGCTTATTCACTTCTCTTTACGATGAACACATTCTCCAATCTACAAAAAGAGACTTAACAAAAAATTGACATGGACAAGCCCAGATGTAAAAACAAAAGACCAAATAGACTTTATAACTGGCGGCTAAACATAGAGGACTGCGATCCAACGTTGCCAAATTGATTTCGATGCTAGGCGCGTGCCCGCCCACCCCATTGAGCCAAGTTTGTCTGTCTCTGTCAGTCTGTCTTTTTCATTGATCTCTTTGGAGTTTGGTGCAAATAAACAAAGCTAGTAGTATTGTATATTGTATTCAGTTGCTCGCTTATTGCTTGTATTTTTAATTTGTGTACGATTTGTTTCTAATTTTTTTTCAAAGCACGAATACGGATGGTGTGTTTTGCTTTGAATGCGATAAAGTATTCTCGACTCAAAGTAATTATAATCGACATCGACGTGAAGTTCATGGACTTAATGATAAAGTCATATCATTCAATATGCGTGTGAAGTAACAATGTTCAAATGCGAAGAGTGTGGAATATCTTTTAAGAAAAATGAATATTTACATCACTTAGTACAAAAACATAATATACTTTTTTAGAGAACTTTGACCTTTTATTTTTAGTTTTAAATGCTTTCGCTTCTTTCTTTAGAATAACTACTATAAGTAGGTACCTAAAGATAAATTCACAAAAAAAAATATACCTACCATATATCATTATTTTTATCTTATTATTACCATTACTTATTTTCTATTTTTATATTCCGGCCTGTCAAAATGACATTATTATGGAACTCATTTGTAGTGCCAAAATGACATAATTTATTGGATTGAGTACTTTATTGCGATTTCATTAGAGTACTAAGTAGTATAATGAGATCTCATTATAAGTACTATAATGAGAAAAAAATATAGGTAGGTAGGTTTAGTAGGCAAAAATATGAAAAATTTATTGAAGACAACATTTAACGATTAAAATAATTTACAATTTCTGGAGTATAAAATATTGTGTGAAATTTGGATTATAAACAATCATTATGGCACACGCCGTGTTATCATCAGACTCGGCTGACGCCTCGTCTGATAATATTTACGGCTAATACCATAATGATCGTGATTATGATCCTTATAACATAAATATCTATAATAGGATTAATTTATTACCTACTAATCATGCGAGACCTTATTTGTTGTATAACAGAAATAATTAACCTTTAATTATTATTGTAACATTATCCGCAATATAAATCTATTTTAAATTTGGCGCTTTATGAAAGGAGGATTTGGCAACATTGGATCGCGATCCTATGTCTAGCCGCCAGTGACTTTATACTGACACATCAAAAACATAATCCAAGATGTAGACTAGAGATGTCTGATGTCTTAGGCTCATTCACGACTGGCAGCGATCACAGAATGGTACGTGAGATGTATAATAGCCATAAATGGCAGACTAGAGAGAGGAAAATAATTTCAACCGCCCCCAAAAGAAATTAAGAATTAAGCATACATAACAGTAAAACACAAAAAACAGAATTCGCAACAAAATTAACACACGAAGACATGAATCAATCAAATTAATAAAAAAATAATGAAAACAATAAAAGAAACAGCAAAAAATATCATGAAACCGAAGGGTTGGCCAAAAAAAGTTAGCAAAGGAACAAAACAAATGCTGGAGAACAGGAGAGAACTCATAAAACAAGGAAAAAAAGATACACCATGTAGTATAATACCCCGGTTCGCTCAGTAAGATTGAACGATGAGAATTTTTATTACCTTTTAAACAACAAATCTTCTGAAAAATGAAATGAAAAACAAATAGGACCTACGTTATGGAAACTTACTCAATTTTACTTACTGGACATGCGCCCGACATAGCAAATATTAGGGAAATTTGAGGGAAGTTGTGATATGTAAAAGAAACGAAAAATTTGTGAAACGTCTACTTTATTATTAAAGTAAATCGTACCGTTCTCGACCTCAGGGCCGTATCTAGGGGGGGGGGGGGGGGTTTTGGGGTTCAAACCCCCCCCCCCCAAAAAAATAATAAAATTCAAAAAATTTAACTTAAAAACAAGCAACACTTAAATTATTTTTTATTTTTTTTATTTTTATTACTAGTGTAACACATTTTTTTTTGCCACTTTGTCTAACCCCCCCCAAAATTTTGATCTAGATACGGCCCTGCTCGACCTAGAATTCTCGAGGGGAAAGAGAACGGCAGAGAAAACATCGATCTAACAATCCTCAAAAATCGAAACATACTGTGTCATTTTAAATAATAATTGTGAGTCAATAATTCAATAATTTAAGTCAATAAAAGTTTCAATTAGGTACCGTCCTTGTTCTTGTGCTAAAACT